TTACCCTGCAAACGAAAATCGAGAAAACTACAGCAAGGATATAACTGAACTATAACAACGGACGCTCCAACATGGCACTATCATCATCATTAACTCACATGGCACAGGAAATCTTTAGCAGAAGGGTGGGCCACAAAACAAGAACGCTTGTAATAATGCCACGTAGGATCGCCTTCCATGTCAGTCAACGACTCAAATGAAAAGGTATAGAAATATCAAGAAGTTGTAAGCAGTGCAAAGTGATTCAGAAGGGGACAGCTTCATTAGCTTGGAGTTTTCATGAAACTAAATCACGAAGAAATTACATTTTGCTTTTAACCAATAATCTAAAGTTCGCAGGCTTAACAAATTCTCTGTTTTAGGGTACCGATGGATCCATTGGGAGAAATAATAGAAATACACCTCAAACATGTCTTGGACTTCATGGAAATCCATGGAGAAAAAAATAAAAATACGTGATAATTTGAATTTTAAAGTACTTCGTAACTGAAGATGACCCAGCGACGACGGTGAATAACCAATGGGAACCGAGTCATCGAAGGAAGACCGTTAGAGAGCCATCGATGTGAAACTACGAGAGACAACGAAGGAAAAGACGTAACATAGTCAATCTACTTGAAGACGACCCAGTCAAACATAGGAATTAGAGGAGACTACACGTTATCACTGTTGAAATAGCAAAATAAATATGTAATTAAATATATATATATTGAAATAGTAAAATAAATATATGATTAAAAAAAATATAAATTTTGATATATGATTGAAAATAATAATAGACACAATATTATATATCTGATATGTTTCTCTTTATCTATCTTTTTTTTTTATTCTTTTTGTTCATTTTACTATTTCAACAATCACGACTCCACCATTTTGACCGTACCTCTCTCACTAGGCATCTCATTGTTATGCAAAATTGTGAGAAAGAAAGATTTTTTTACCCACCATGCCTTATTATACCACATTAAATAAATAGATTATCTTTTAAACTTCGGGACCATTACTTCTCCTATTTTATAGGACCTCAAATCCAGATACACACTATAAATGTTCACGATAAATATACACCATGGATGATCGCGATAAATACATGGTTTTTTGTTCTAAACTTGCCCATTTCCAAACTTCCCTCTTTATCTCACGATTATTTATTGTATTTAAATGGATTTTGTCGTCGATTATGTAAGTTTTTCGCTGTAATATGATAATAATGTGAAATGATATAAGAGAGAAAATATCACAAAAATAAAGAAATGCAATCAAGATCCCTAATTTATTAATAAAACACTGAAGGACAATCCGATATTACGCACTTGCATTGACGAAGGATCATTCCAATACTATCCATTTTCAAACGGGCCTTTATCAAAAATGCCCTTAAAATGTTACTTGTACTTCATGGAGTACCCTTCTCTAAGAAAAAAAAAGTAACACCTTCACATATACCTTTGTCATATGTACAATATCCATTATACCCTTATATTATAAAACAAATAAAATAAAATAAAAAAATAATTTCCCTCCTATAAAGAAATATTGGTTTCTCTCTCCTCATTATCATTTTTTTTTATCTTCTCTCCCACATTTTTCATTCTCTCTCCTCCAACATTTGTGCTTTCTCTCTCCTCCGTTTGCTCTCTCTCGTATCTTGCTCTTTCTCTCTCCTCCGTTTTCTCTCTCTCTCTCTTACCGCCGATTTGCTCTGTCTCTCCATCGATTTGCTCTGTATCTCTTCTGATTCTCTCTCCTCCGACATTTGCATTCTCTCTCCTCCGTTTGCTCTCTCCCTCCATTTGTTCTCTCGTATTTTGCTCTCTCTCTCCTCCAATTTTAACTTTGTCTCCACCGCCGCCGATTTGCTCTCCCTCCCCATCGATTTGCTCTCTCTCTCTCTCCCGATTCGGTTGCTCTCCCTTCATATTTGGTCTCTATGTCCTCACATTTGCTTCATTTATCCGAATTGCTTGCTCTCTCTTCGATAATTTGCGAAACTGCTTCAAATCTCGTGGAAATCAGCGGAAAATCTAATAGAATCGTGGAAATAGGTAAGTTCCGACTTAAATACTATTATTCTGTGGATTTTTTCTTGTTTTTGAGTTGTTTACTGTGTTTTGTGGGGAAAGATCGAGTCAGATGTTTGATATAGACAAATATCCATGCAGTCACGCAATCGCAGCAGTCCACAAGACTGACAGAGGCAATATTATATTGGACTTATGCTCTCCATACTTTCTTCGGGAGACATGGCGGTTGGCTTATCAAGAAACGGTTTATCCGGTTTCCTGATTGTTGTGATTGGATCATTGACGACCCATGTGATGCAAACCTCGTGGTATTAACTCCGATTGTGGAAGATAAACACAAAATCGGTAGACCCAAACAAAATCGGGTTCTAGGCCCCGGCAAACCGCAGACAAAGCGTTCAAAGAAAGACAAACAAAGATATTGCATAAATAATATGATTGTATGATTTCATGTAGTTCTCGTGACCCATGTGATTGTATACATTTTCCAGAAGGATAATCTCTTTGAATAAGGTGATTTTCTTTGCACTAGTACTGTGTTAAAGTCTTGAAAAGATAGAAACAAGTTTTGAACTGTGTGACCCGTGTGACTCACCCGTGACCTATATATGTGACCCGAAGACATTTTTACACTGTGTGACCCATGTGACCCGTGTGGCCCGTGACTCGGTGGTACTTATAAAATACGGTCAAATCTCGATTTTAAAGTGTTAAAATGATTTATATGATGTTTTACACTGATAATATGATATCTCCAAGTTAAATTCGTTAACATAAGTAAGAGTTGTATGAACATTAGTATAATTTGTTCATAAGTTGTCATGAAACACTAGTATCACTTATGAAATACATTTGCATGAGTGACTTGGATATGAAAATTGAAACGAACATGATTTTAAAGTTGTTATTGATGTTAAAATCCATGATTAATCACTGCATAACCATGCCAAATCACTAATTCGATAAATTCGACCTATGTGACCCATGTGACCCATGTGACTCACCCGTGACCCATGTGACCCGTGTGACCTGTGTGACCCGTGACTCATGTGACCCATGTGACCCGTGTGACCCATTGGACTTATGTTTTTTTCTTTCTCATTTCCAAGCAAAAGTAGAAGTAAAATCCAAAATACGAAAGAGTTTACAAAAACTGAGTTTACAAACTACGAAAGAGTTCACAATAAATAACTGGTTAGTTGTACACAATTTTACCATTACAAAATATATCGATAACCAATTTTTCACGGATCAGTGGTATGGTCCCATCGTATATCGACATGAATTATGCTCCCTTGTTCAAACCAGATATAAGTGCGTGCTCAATGATCGATAGAGCGGTTAATAAGAACTCCCGCATGCGCCATCTTTAACTATGGTTCACATTGCACGTGAAATAGATATTAGAACTGTGATTCTTTCTCGAAGTACGTCTATTCATCTTATGTTAGTACTTCTTTAAGCGTCTTCAGCGTCTCATAGGGATAAGACTTCGTATTGATCTTCGAAAAAACTGAATGTCTTCGAATTTGTAGACAAATGGAAGCTGCAAAATAAAATAATTGTTCGTCATTGTGATCTTTGTGACCTGGGACCTGGGACCCGTGGCTGATATGACCCATGTGATCTGTGACCTGTGTGATCCGTGTACGGTGTTGTGAGTTATATTATACTATTACCATATAAATCCCTGTGACTCATGCATGTGACCTGTGACTCACATGAACTCGCACTTTAGAAAATCATTAAATTTGCCAAGGTATTCCGAAATCCCACACCCACACTCTAACTTTCTATTTCGAATTCCTAAAACCCCAATTATATTTTTCAAAACAAAAAAAAACCTTAACTTTATATTCAGAAATCCCAAAAATCTAATTTTCAATTTCGAAATTCCTAAACTCTAAATTCCTATTTTGAAATCTCAAACCATCCAACAAGTTTAATGATTTTACTTCAGGATCAGGTCACAGAAGAAAAAAACGGAGAAGAATATGCAAAAAAACCTACCGTTTCTAATGGAAGATCTTTGTCCAACGATGACGAAGATGAACCAGCCTGAGATGCAGACGAAGACGAAGCAGAAGGCACATGTGTTCTTGGATCCATGGGTGTTTGATTTTTCACATAAATCGCAAGAGAGATACCGAAATTGCAAAGAAAATGGCCTCAGTTTCTGAAAATCGAAAGAGAGAAATAGCGCAAGAGAGAGAGAGAGTTTTCGAAATGCTGCAAGAGAGAGAGATGGAGTTGCAAGAGAGAGTGGGAGTTTACCGAGGGAGAGAGAGTGAAGAGAGAGAGAGAGAGTTTTCGAAATGCTGCAAGAGAGAGAGATGGAGTTGCAAGAGAGAGTGGGAGTTTACCGAGGGAGAGAGAATGTTTATTTTTTAATTCTTAAAAAGTTAGTCATTTTTTAATCGAAAAAGTATATCCCTTTTCGTCTTTCATTTAAAATTGAGGGATATACATGTACTTTACTCATTTCATCTTTTATTTTTTTTAGATTTATTTTTTGGAAGGTATGCTATGAAGTATGGATAGCATTTTAAGGGTATTTTTGCTATATTCCCTTTTCAAACATAGCATGTGAAGTAAACTTTTGAAGGTTCCCCAATCCATTGTTAAAACCATTGTTTGGCTGACGTGGACATACCAAGTAGGCTTTTGGTTCTCACAGCTACACTATTCTTACGCATGCATGCGTGTGACAGTTTGGGAAAAGCCACTTTCGGATTTTGTTCTAGCTTGTCCACCATAATCCACAAAGCGTACCATTTTCTAGCCAATAAAAAGATACCACGTGTCATTGGCCTCCTGGCTCTCCAAAATTGAGAAAACCTGATCCGGCATAACCAGTGGGACCAACAAACAAACCCATGAGACGTTTGAGTTTCGTTTCGTCAATAAGGTATCTAACCAAGTCTCCCGTTTGTGAAGACACTGCAAACCGGCGTTTACTAGGATTTTGTAGCCAAACCTAACCGACCGGTTACGAATAAACAAAATGACATGGGTTTTACAGACTACTTGGTTAAGCTGGCTACAGAAAATTTGGCATCACCACAGGGATATTGCTGGGTCAGACCACATACGAACAACATGTTCTAACAGAGAAAATATGCCGCATCCATCCTTTTCCGAATGATACCAAAGAGATGCAGAATTCTCCAAATTAAGAACTTGTCCAAAGCTTCCATCCCGCAGAGATTCACGGCCACAGAGAGATGGATTGATGTCACCCCTCTTGCTTGGCATCATCCCCCCTGAGCAGAGATCATAATTTGCATAATAGAACCTTATATTATACCATTTGCTGATAAAGCAAATCATTCAAAACAATGAAAAGGGGAAAAAAGGAACAATCAACGATTAAAACCTTTGGAAGATTCATGAGGGGAAGATTATAAGATGAGAGAATGTCCCTTGAGACCTTAGCTCCAAAGTTTTCAGACAGTATCAATAAGTACGCTAGTGAAATGTTATGGCATTTCATTAACTGTTGATGTTGCGAAGAAGGGTATGAGACAGGACATATGCTTAAACAGTCAAGAACACACTTGCAGATTGATGGCATAGCTGTATATGTGAATTCAACCAAGTTTTTTTTAATCATATACAGTCAGGAAAAAAAAAAGAACACTTCACCAGTACCTCTCGTCAGCTTTTCACGGTGTGCACTTCAATCATATCATCATCCTCCAGCCCGAGGGTATCAGGAGTGGTTGTTGGATCAATCTTGTCCCCATCAAAACAAAACACAAGGTTTTGTGGGTTAAGCTTCGCTCTATCAGCATACATTTTGAAGAGCCGCTCGAATTTCTCATCCTAAAGGAAGATTGGTAAATTGAAATCAACATCATCCTATCAAAATATAAATTTAGATAGGCGGGTCCAACATCATCACTGTATCAGAAGAAATAAAAACGAAGATAACAGAGAGGAGATAACATGTCTCTGTTCGCATGTGGAAAAGAAGCAACTTCCATTTCCAGAGTACAAAATAAGCAAATGACAAGATATGCAAAGGCTATGAAACAAAGTACAAACATTTGAGTTGAAAACATTACCGCGTAAACACGATATTGCTGTGGTCCATCTTTGTCCTGAATTTTGATAACAATCTTAACCCTCCCATTCTGAGGCTCTTGCAGGGTCTTACCAGCAACCTCTGAAGAAGGATCAGAGAATAGATCTACCTTCCTTCTAGAAGATGTCTCGACTTCTCGCATCACATCTTCTGCTGTTTTCGTGAATGATAATAGCTCCTGCCTCTTCAACCTACATTCATATATTGTATATCCAATTGAAATCCTTGATCGAAAGCATAAAACAACTGAACAAAGTAAAGGATAGTAACGATAAGTCCAAAGCCATACTTGCACCAGGACATGTAAGACAACCGGAATTCTGACAAAATCAACAGAGTCCAAAAATTAAGCTACAACCACAAGGGTAGGGAATTAAGCCCCAAGAGCTTAAGCACAAACAGAGCCATTAAAACGGGAAAAATCAGAGAAAAGAATATGAACCAAATTCTAACGTTCTAACTTCTCACTGGAAAACCAGAGCGGAACTTGGTAAATTCACAGAAACATGCTGTCCAAGTTACCTCAATGCCTTAATGGTTGAATCTTCACCTGACAGATCACCTCCATTCGAGATAACCTTGGGAGGAGGAGGCAACCAATCCTCATCCACGGCTACCGTAATCACTTTCACATCTTCATCAGCCTTTTCGACCTGTATTGGAAGGAAATAACATTATTACTTAAAATACACAAAGCCTTCATAATTGCACAGATAGAGAGAGAGAAACTCAGCCAAAGAAAGATTCATTTTTCCCAAGATACTAAGAATCCCCTATCCAGTTTCAGTTCAGTGGGAGATATCAATGAGAGAATCAGTATGCTTATACGGTGTAAAGAGCGTGATGAAGTTCCAATCCTAACCCCCAGGGATATTTCAACTCAAAATTACATCTTACTACAGTTTCAGAGGCTTTCGCTCTTTTTGGCGCTGGCTTCACCGGCGAATCCAATTCATCATCTGCAGAATAAAAGATAGATAAGAAAAATCATAACTTGGATTGTCGCCAGACATAGTCGGAACGTCCTCACCGATTAAATGACGGAGAACGAAGAATTTACATGGGACTAAGACTAAACTCACCGTCGATGCAAACGAAGTTCATCGGCTGAACTCGATGGTAATCAAATAGCGGTTCGAGTTCTTCCCCATCGTCTACCTAGAAGCAAAATCAGAAGCAGAACACAAGAAGAAGAAAAAAACGAAACCCTAGAATTTACAAACACAAAGATCACGAAAACAGAATTACTCACCATTTTTTTTGGGAATTTGAAACTTCGTGGCTCAATTTCAGAAAGCGAATATCAGATTGAATAATGACAAATCGGTATCAACTTCAGGAATTGGCGTGGTCTTGGTTTTGGATTGAGTTTTGATGGAGGGAAGGGGACTCTTATGAATTGAAAAGTGTCGAGGAAGACGACATCGGTCGAGGAGGCATTTTAGCTGTGGAGTTTGGGCTTTGTATTTGGGCCGAACTGTTCGATAGTTTCACGTGCCTTTGGAGGTACATTAAAACAAATTAATATCCCGAATAAAAATATTTACTTGACAAAAGTAACAAATTATTTACTTGAGTTGGTAATAGGGGTGGCCAATTCGGGTTTCGGTTCGGGTTCGGTTCGGTTATATTCGGGTTCGGTTATTTCGGTTATAGAAAAACTATAACCATTCGGTTTTTATATAAATTTCGGTTCGGTTCGGTTCGGTTATTTTTCGGTTCGGGTTCGGTTCGGTTTTGGTAAAAAGTTCAATTTTTCAAAGAAAATTGTCGGTTATTCTCTCGGTTTTTTCGGTTATTTTTTATTCGGTTCGGTTCGGTTTCGGTTTCGATTTTTCGGGTTTAAGGAAATCATAACCGTTCGGTTTTGATGTCGGGTTCGGTTCGGGTACGGTTATGTCTTATTCGGTTCGGTTCGGTTCGGTTATTCGGTTAATAACCGAAATGGCCACCCCTAGTTGGTAAGGTATCTGGAGTCCCATGCCGTAAGGCAGTGGACAGGACCTAGCAAAATTTTTAATTGGGGGCAAAATTAATTTTACATGTGAGAAACATATTTTTTATCGGGAAATTTATAAAATTTGGTTAAAAATGATAAAATTTATGAAAAAACTATAAAATTTTAATCAAATCTTGGAGCATATGTCCTCATATATATCAATATGAGTCCGTCTATGGTCGTGGATTCGATTCCTTATTAGCTCATCTCTCTACTCGGTTACGGCCGATTTAACTCCAATGCATGTATGGTGGTTACGGCCGATTTAACTCCAATGCATGTGTGGTGGATTCGTGCGTGTGAGGCGAAGGTTTATCTAGTCAACGCGTATGAAGGATAGTAGATAGAGTTCTCACGTTAACAAAAAAATAATTTTATCATGTATAAAGATAAAACTATCTTAAATTCTGATATACGAAATAACATGTAAGGATAAAAATATATTTTTCATAATGCCGATAAATAGAAAATATTCAATATTTATAATTCAATCCAAACTCTTAAAAAGTTTAATTTTTATACAAAATATTTACTAACAAATCTCTAAAACTTATGATTTAGAATAAAAGTACTTTAAAAGATTACAACATTTAAATTCACTAGATACTAGTTTTTCTGAAAAAATTAAAATTTTACAAGTTTAGAAAACATTTTTGCGTTTTCTAAAATACTATTATTTTGAACTTTCATGTTTTTCTCGTGCACGTCTGTCTAAATTCATCGGTTTTTCTTACGAATGGGAATTAATTTTTAATATATTTTCCTTTATTTATATTAAAAAAAAGTTCGCGTAGCAAAAGGAAAAAATGCATTTTTATTCGAAAACAAAAATATCAATAACTCTTTTATGGTAAGGTTTTGAAATTACTTTGACTCTCATTTAAAATTTTATAAGTCAAATAATTAAAACGTTTTTTTTTTAAAGAATGGTTAAATTCAAAGAATTAAAACATTTATAAACGGAAAGTCTTATATGTTCGTCAACCCCAACCCCACTTCCTTTCAAGTAATTACTAACTCCAAGTATAATTTTCCCTTTAAATTAAAATTATAGTCCCTTGTATATATACTATATTACACTTTGACATTACCAGTCTCCAAAATCGGAGTTACATAAAACGCATCGTTTAACAAATCTGGTTTCATTGTTAACCAATATAAATATATTTCATATATTTAGTAAATACATATATATATATTCAAATCAAAATTTTCTGAAAAACAAGATTTATGCTTATATTTGTAGTAGCAATAATGTTACTAATAATTTTATATTTTTAATAAGCAGTATTCATCTCTAACTAGACAAACCAATATATTAATATTATTTTTTCGGTTAAAATATTCTAGCTAAACAAAATTTTAATTATTATGGACAAATGGCATTTTTTATATATCGGAACGGAACCCAAATTGGAATATTAATTAATTAAGTATATACGATTAAATAAAGTTTGACCAGTTCACATTTTTTTCACCTATCTAAATAAAGAAAACATATTCATAAATATGGTAAGAATCGAACTCGCATCCTCTTGATGTCTTCCGTAACGGCAAGCATCTTCTCCGTACCAAGTACTAAACTTTCTAAAATATTAGATACATATATACACACATACTACAAATATATAACAATGACGGTATCATTATAATGTTTATTATATAAAACTCTTGCTAATTTGATATTTGTCTACAAAAACATTTGTTCGAAAGTCCATATATTATAGTCATAAACTAAGATAACGAATCATTTCAAAAACTTTGCATAAGAGACGAGAGTACATCATATTTAAAATATAACAATAATTTATCTATAATTGGTCGAACGCCTGTTTATTAATATATATACATAACATTTTTAGAAATTCCGTAAACACAGTCAACAGTCTAGCACATTATTAAAGATAATTCAGATTCTATTCTAATATAGTAGAATCACGAAAATCGTATAGTTTTAATATTTATATGAGGTGTTTTATATATGAAATATTAATTCCAATTTAAAGCCCCACACCCACTCTCTCTCTCTCTCTCTCTCTCTCTCTCTCTCTCTCTCTCTCTCTCTCTCTCTCTCTCTCTCTCTCCAGATTTTCTCGGGAAGATGGCAGAAAATGTAGGGAAGGATTCGACAGAAGTCATGGTTCCAAGCTGTTTCCGAGGTCTTCCCGTTCTCTTAGTTGAGCATGATGTTACGTCACTCACATCCCTCTCTTCCGTACTCGAGCTCTTCTCTTACAATGGTAAAATATATACCAAATTAAAGCACCATTAATCATTTTCCCCTCTTTCTCTAATATATTATATATTTTTCGCATACCGATTGGGGTGGAACATACATACATACATACAATTACATCTATTTTTCATTTTGTATTTCCTATTTGTTCGATTCGGCCCTTAACATATTGATCAATCCCTTTTTTGGCGAAGGATTGCAATGCAAATCCGCATATATAATTTATAATTAATTTTTTCTTCCTGCAAAAAAAACGAGATATTTTTAAGAAAACTCTTTTCCAACACGGGTTCAAATCTCCGTTTAGAAAGAGATATTTCCATAGACTTTTCCGATTTTTCTGGGAAATATAGTTAAATAGAAAATTCGGTGAATTTCTGAATTATAAAAAAAATGAGATTTTTAACTTTCTACGATTCAATTCCAAATTCGTTTTTTTTTCCTTTCAGAATAAGAAAGAAAACACCTGTTACATAAAAAAAATATCTAATATATATATAATAATACCTATCTGACTTAGACGATGCTTCGATTTAACAATTTAACGACGCTTTTAATATATTTTTTTTAAATTTGTGTAAAGATTTTTTTTATCAATTTTTTTCTATTCTAAAACCAGATGGCACCTTATACTTAACTCCAGTCTAAAAGAACGACAATATACATATATATATATATATATATATGTATGTGTATGATTAAGAAATTACTTAAAATGTTTTCAGTGACAAGCGTGGAAATGGCACGTCGTGCTCTGTCCATGATCGAAGAGGAGCCAAAACGATTCAAGCTTATCATAACAAACATCGAGATGCCTGACATCGACACTGACTCCTTCCTCAATTCGCTGTTCGAAACAGGCATCCCTCTCATGCGTGAGTTATATAATCACTTTCTCACTGTCTAATTCGGAAATCACCGAAGTTTCATCTTTTCATGGTTAGGGTTTTTTTGGGGTTGCTTTTTTCGCAAGTAACCAGTTTTCCTTCTGGTTGTTGAACCTAAAAAACAGTGATGAGTTCAGAGATGACAACGGCCAAAGCATCTGAATTTCTGGCCAGAGGGGCAAGTCTTTGCCTTGAGAAGCCTGTCTCGGTGACCGACATCAAGTATCTTTGGCAGCACACGATCGATAAGGAGGAGGGCGAAGCAAAAATCGCGAACCAACCCGAGAAGACGGTGAAAGATCCGACCAAAAACGTTGAAACACTTGTGAAGAATCCTCAGACTCATTGTACAGAAGCTGATCGGAAGGGGAAAAAGGTGATGTCTGAAGAAAACGTCAAGAAGAAGTACTTGGAGGATGGTCAGGTCGAGGCTTTCAGGAGAATAGTAAGGATGCAAAGGCCTGGACAGTCCTCGTTGCTCGGGAAAAGACCGATCATAAGCAATGTCCCGAGGTATGTAAACTATGAAAAGAGACGGAATATAGGAAACGAGGTGGCGAGAATAGCGAATCTTGCAGAGGGTAAGAAAGAGGAAGAGAAGAATAAGAAGGAGATGAAGAAGGAGAAGGAGGAGGAGGAGGAGGAAGAGAACAATATGGCTAATGCCGTGACTCAGTCTAGGAAGCGTTGTGGCATTTGGAACGCTGAGCTCCACATGAAATTCACAGCTGCTCTCTGTGCTTTGGGGGAGAAAAGTACATTCTCTTAACTCAAAACCCGACAATAGGTTTTCGATAGTTTCAAATTCTGATCCGATTTGATTCCTTGAGTTTCACATTTTCGGCCTTTGTTATCTGCAGATGCTACTCCGAAATCCATATTGAAAATTATGAACGTCTCAAACTTGACCCAACGACAAGTCGCTAGTCACCTTCAGGTTCATATTCTTCTAAATAATAGTGGTAGTATATATATGAGCTGTCTTGATGGCAGAAAAACGAAAATCTCGTGTCGTTGCTGCAGAAATTCAAAGCGCAAGTTCAGCGTCTAAGTGAGACAACGCCAAGAACTGAATGGAAAACGACGGAGAAAACGTTCAAATATCCATCAAATTACGAGTATCCCTTCAAAGCATCAAACTTAACTCAGAGTCTCATAGCCAGCAATTCGTCATGGTATGCACTTGCATTGAAAAACTCCAAACGTAAGTAACATATCTCCATTGAGTTTCAGAATCTTTTGTAAATCTCGTGATTAATCTAAGTTCCAGAATGCTTATATCTGTTCTTGAATCTTGATGATGCAGCCGAGTTGCCGAAACAAAGCACGTCGTCCTCTCTGAAGAAATGTAGCAAGATTCCATCATCATCACCATCATCATCACCACCATCACCATCACCATCACCATCACCATCATCTGCAGATGAAACAACGAAAGGGAAATTTGAGTTTTGTCTTGGCGGGAAAGTCAATCTCAATAAGCTTCCTCTTTTTACGGAGATGATGAAAAACAAGCCATCATTCCAGTTCTGTTCATCTCCCCAAGATACAACAACTTCAGTCCCTCCTCCCATGGCTGTCAACACAAATGTTTCGGCACCTTGCGATCCAATTCCTTCAGACACAAGTTACAATCCATGCCATGTTCTCGAGACCGGTACAAACCAGACTGGTTTGGTTTCTGCTGGTGCAAACCAAAATCCTTATATTCCTGAAGTCGGTCCGCAGCAGGCTGGTTTGGTCACGCCCGAGGAGAACTGTTATGTTCCTAATGTGGATGTCTTCCCATCAATATCTGACTATGTTCTCGACAACGATTTTAGCCAAATGGGGTTGGATCCTTCTGATGCAACGTTCAATCCCTCAGCGTATCAAGCATTACCAGGTGATGATTATGTTCTTCAGACCGATGTAAACCAGATGGATTCGGTTCCTTGGGTGGAAAGTTTTCTTCTTTCTGATGATATGATCCCGGGTTTGGTTTCTTGCGAGGAAAGTTATCTCCCTCCAGATAACATGATGCCCCCTGAAACCTATATAAACCAGACGGGTTTGGGTCCTTGTGAGGAAATGTATGTTCCTGATCTTGAGGATATGTTTCCCTCAGCTACAATTTATCACCCGGAATCTGCAATGGCTTCCATGGATTCAGCTCTTAACACCACACCAACTGTTCAGGATTGTTCTGTAACTCAAGCTGAAGGGTCAGCAAGTCCACATCAGAATTTTTCAGACATCACCCAGTTTCTGAATCTGTCAGATATTGATGAGGTAGAAGGTGTGTTACCCGTGGAAGAGATTCAAGATCTTGATGAGTTTCTGGGTCTAGTGGACAAGTTTATGATGGACAATGACGCGCCTTAATGGTGGGAAACGATTGAGAATTTCCGAAGCTTCTGGTTTACTCAGAAGTTTCGCTTGCTTTCGTGTTTGTTCCAAATGCTTGGTTGTGTTGTGTTGTGTCGTGTGTAAGATGTTGAATAAAGAAAGAGATAGTGAGTGTGGGAAAAGACAAAATAAGGGCTTATGTTTTGTATTTGTATTTTACTGCTTAAGTAGTTCAATACATGTACTGAAATGCAAATTCATGTCTTAATTAAAATGCATGAACAAGTCTTTGAGCCCAAATCTGTCTTATTCTGTTACCACGTAGACAAAGATTAAAAGATGGGCTTTTCATATATTTTGGTTTAGTTGATTCTCAAATTTAGATTTTTAGATTTTGGAGAAAAGGCATTTTCGTTTTTCGGTTCCAATTTGGTTCATTTTTTCCAATTTTAGAAAATCTATATTTGTCCGTATTTTATTTTATATCTTCGGTTGGATTTTTTTTTGTGAGATTCTAAACATGCGATTCATAATCCAGTTGTAAGGTTAACTAAACGGAAGATAAAACAAAAATTTTACAATGTTAGATATTATAGAAATCGTGAGAACCCCTTAACAACACATAAATCATACCTAAAAGTATCAAATCCAATCCAAATTGTTAAAATGGAAAAATGAATATGTAATGGAAGTAAAATAAGATTTGAGATATGATGGAGAATAATAATGGATACAATATCATTATGTCGAATATTGTGTATCTGATTTGTTTCCATTGTATCTATATTTCCTTTTTACTCCGTTTCTTAATTTTCCTATAAATATGTATTTCATTTTCATTGTAATATAACAATAAGAAGAAGAGATGTAGCAATAAAAGTATTTTCGTTCTTTTATATTTTGTTCTTTCTTTTTAATTTAATTTCCGCATTTTATTTTTCTACATGGTATCAGAGCAGCGTTGCGATCTGAATTATATGTTTCTTTTTTTTTTAATTTTTTAATCTCTTCTTTCATTTGTGTTTTGGATGTTCATATATCTAAATCATTCAAAGGCGAGTAAAAATCCAAATTCAAACGATGTGCTATGACAAACAAAAGTCAAAGCTAAAAACTCTAAGATCAAGCAAGATGCTATGACAAAAAGAGTTAAAGTTAGAACTTTAAAGTCAAGCGAAGTGATTTGAAAATGGTTAATGCATACTAAAAGAACAAAATTTGGTGTTTATGAATTTTTTCAGAGACAATGAAAATGTATGGACGATTTATAGCATTATCAATTCAAGATTGACTTTTTCATTCTTTCAAAGTCAATCTTGAGGGGGAATGTTAAAATGAAAAAATGAATATGTGATGGAAGTAAAATAAGATTTGAGATATGATGGAGAATAATAATGGATACAACATCATTATGTCGAATATTGTGTATCTGATTTGTTTCCATTGTATCCATATTTCCTTTTTACTCCGTTTCTTAATTTTCCTATAAATATGTATTTCATTTTCATTGTAATATAACAATAAGAAGAAGAGATGTAGCAATAAAAGTGTTTCTATTCTTTTATATTTTGTTATTTCTTTCTAATTTAATTTCCGCATTTTATTTTTCTACACAAACTTGGTTTTAAAAAAACATTGGAAAGTGATATAAGACACCACAAACATGGGTGATGAACATGTTTAATAAATTAATCTAGATATTCATATAAAAAATCTCTAATTTTATGATAGTATTCAAGAATAAGATTGTGGCGTCGAGTCTGAACCTTAAATTTGGAGAGAAAATATATATTTCAAATTATCTTATTGGTTGTCACCCCTTTAATTAGTTTGAGTCTTGTTTAAAGATATTCGGTTACCCAAAAAAACAAGAAAAAAGATTTTTTTCAATAGAATAAGCCAAAAACATATTCTGAACAAAATAATGACGATGAAATCTTTAAATAAAACCAAAACTTAATTAATTAAATAAAACAACTTAAATTTAAACTAAATTGTAAAAGTAAAACGGGTCATGTCGTTTGTAACACATGCCAATGCATATCATTTGTGACACTGGACATATCAAGTTTATGAGCAAATTCTTCAGTTTTCTATAATATCTGAACTTTAATAGAAACTTCTATAATAATCCCTCAATTTCAACAAAACTTCCAATAAACCCTATAAACCGAATCACTAAAACCGGTAAACATTATTTCAATTTTTTTTAAACTGATGTGGTGCCGACGTGGCGACATAATAAACATTCTGGCATGCCATGTAAGTGTAAGATTACAAAAAATTGATCAAAATAATCAAATATTTTATATAGAAAAAATAACAAATTCTAGATTTTTATGAAAGTTTTTATCAAGTTTATGAATTTTTCCGATAGAATGTAATTTTAAAATTTTATATAAAATATTTTAACAAATTAATTTTTTTATGAGACGAACCTTTTATTATATACAATACTAATATATTATTTAAAATATTTTTTTATTAATTTTTTAATAGTTAATTATAATTTTTTAAAAATATTTTTTTATCAATTTTATTTATTTTTAATAAAATTAATTTTAATGTAAAAAATATATTTTAAAAATATTTATTAATAACTTTAAATAATATCAAATATAATATCAAATAAAATTATTAATATTTTATTTTTTTAGTAGTACCAAATAAAATTATTAAGGCGATAATATATCAAAAATATTCTACATTAGAATGATATTACAAAAGGTTATATTGGTTATAATATTAAATTTATAATGATTTAATGGAGTGACTAATTAGATATATAAAGTATGAATGAAATGATTTGGTATGATTATGTTATAACCAATGAAGGTATTTTTGATAATGGCCTTGAGCCCGATTTCACCAACAAAGCTAAAGATAAACCCAGGTTTCAGTGAAGGTGAAAGCAGAACAAGAATAAAGCCCAAAAAACGGGGGAGAGAGAGACGATGGCTGTGTAGGTCGGGAAAATCACCCAAATAACCCACTTGGGTTGTATCTATTTCAGTGTACATCACCCATAAATTTTTTTTTTTTTTCAATTTTAACCCACTTCCGTTTTATTTTTTGCGACTTTATTACGATTAACATATAACTGATATACAATTAAAAATAAGACAAATGATTTTTTGCCACCTTTTTAGAATCAATTGTAACTATATTTAGATTTAATTACGAAGTCGTAATAACGAAGTTTTCGAACAGATAAATATCGTAATTCATTAAGGATAATTTCGTCTTTTCGCAGGGAAAAAAATGTGTTATGTTTTCGGTAGTGTACAGATGAAATAGATGCGACCACTTGACAAGTGGGTTATTTGGGTAAAAAAACCCGTGTAGGTCTCCATCCT